TGATACATATTTGGTAAGATGTACCACTTAAACCCAAGAGCTGTTTGTATTACTTCTGGGAGAACTATTAAAACTGAGCACAGATATGTTTATGAGAAATTAAACTCGCCTCACAAACTCATACAAGCTTTAAAACCCATAAGGGAAATGCGTAATGTAATAGAAGTGTGTAACTTTTTACCAAAAGCACAACTTCATGTTCTGAAAGTTTACATATATATATAAAATAGGTAAAACTTTCAGTCTTTAAATTGATACACAAATATTCCTGGAGAAATGCCTTTGGAAGAACTTAAAAATTAACTTCTACAGTCTTCAGATTCAATTTACGGGGTGGGGGGGGATGACCAAACAAAAAACCCCAAAACCACCCAAAGGACCGTAGAGAAGTCTTAGACACCTTTTTAAAAATAAGTAGTCAAGTGACAGCACTTGGAAACAAAATAGTTGCTGTAGTTTTGAAAACAGACTCCTGATGAAAGGACAAAATGAAGCCTTGCATCTGGGTTTCTCATGAAAACACTGGTGTGTGCCTTATTTGCAAGGTCTTCTTTAGTTTCAGCTTTCATTTATGTATGGAGTTACACGTGACAGGTATCTGTCCATACAGCTGTTCTTTCTGATTTAATTCTGCCCTTTTTTGCCCAAATAAATGAGTTTGCTTCTATGTTCTGAGCAAATGCTTATAGTTCTAAAGTTGTATAGCATACTTCATGTTGAAGTGGTATTATAGTTCCCTTACCATGTGATGTTTGGATCTCTGTAGTAAACTGCTTGTGGTGGGAGGAACAAGGGTTAGGCGCTGAGCATTCACTCCTCTGCCTTTGTTTCTCCTAGGTTCAGGTGTCATTTGCCCGTGATCATTGAGGACAGCAGGGTTCTTTATTCCAAGGAGGCTTTAAAGCTAAACCAAAAAAAAAAAGGAAGGAAAGAGCAATCGCGTAGCTCTCATGCTCAGGGAAGATAGCTGAGAGAAGCAGTCGTATGTCATGTTACTTGCTGTTGTTGCAGTGGAGGTAGCCGCTGAGGTGGGCTTGCCTGATGAACCTGGACCGGAGGAAGTCTTCCTCGGTGTGTGACAATTTGGATGGGAATTTGGCCTAAGAGTAGTGTTGTTTACTTGGATTATGAACTTTCTGCTGTCCCAGCCTATTGCTGCATGTTAAGTGATGAGCAAGTGTGGTCTCCTTTTGCTGTAGCAGATTTAAGTTTGTGTTGGTTTTCTTTTAATATAAGAACAATGGGAAAATCTCCTGTGGTTTGTCAGAGTGTTGCTGATAAATCTTTTGAACATATGAGTTTCTGTATTTAGCTCTTGTCCAAAATAATGTCATTCTTGACCTTTCTTTTAAGACCTGTCTGTAAGATGTTACAACTTTGGTTTCAGCAGACATTTGGGAGAGGGAAATAAAGCAAAGTAAGTTTCCTTGGTAATTCTTTTCTTATGTCATTTCACTGATTTTTTTTCTTTTCTTTTATTATTATTATTTTCCCCCTCTTCATCGCAAGCCTTTGTTCACAAAATGTTTTGTCTTTGAAAATTTACGTTGGTTTTGAAATGAGGTGGAGCTTTAGTATAATGAGACTGTATCGTAATGAAAGTAGGTTTAATTAACCAGTTATTTAAAATAGTAATGACTTCTGGAGTTGTGTTTATACTGCAGCTGCAATTGATTTTAATCTGAGAGCTGCCCTTAGGAGGATCTTCCTGATTAATGTAGAATATTTCTGATTAATAGTTAAGGTCCTCTATGATACGGAAAGGGAAAAACTGGTTTTCTTCCTTCTGTATGTATATCAAAGAAGCAAAAGAAAACCTGTATGATTCTCACCCGTCTGAAAAAACTTGTTTCTAAAGAGCCAGAGGGATTGAACCAGCTGATTTCCCACTCTAGGTGAGTGCACTTAAAGTGAATGTCAGCATCTCGAAACGAGTGTGTGAAACATAACACTGTTCACTTGATGAGGTTAGTTTTAATTATTTATGACAGCCACTCTTGAAAATACTCTCAAGATTCATGTAGTCTTGGATCAGAGTACAGTATTATCTTTGAAAAAAGTGGGTAAGCATAGTTTCATAAATCATTACTATATTGGTCATTTTGTACTGAGTAGACAACCTTGATGATGAAATAGCTCAAAGTCTGCAACCTAAGGTGTGTAATAGGGGCTACACATAATAGAGCTAAAAAAACACCTGTGTAGCATAATGTTAGAAGAAAAAAGGCAATTTTTTGGATATTGATTTTATTTTCAATTTCAGTCTCTCATCACCTTCTGAAAATTGGTGATGATAAAGCATAACAACCACATTGTAAAAGGAGCTTCTAATAAACTACAGTAGCTTCTTGTTGGCCACTGTCTATTTGAGCAAGAGCTGAATGGCTTATTGATCATATTTCTTCCCCATATGGTTGCACATTTTTTCAGAGGTGAGGTAATTTTGGCTAGATACTTGTTTTGTGGGATTTGGTCATTTAGGTAGCTATCAAGTGTCTTAAGGGCTTAAGTGTAATATTGGTGCGGGGAAAGATGGGGGATTTAAATCATTATGATTATGCTGGTATAACTCAGCCTAGCGAGTTCTCTTATTACATATGAAACTATCGGAAAAAGGCTTTTTATAAGAAGTAATTTGAGAGTACATTTAAAAAAAAACAAACAAACCCAAGCCCTCCAAAACCAAGAATGTTGTTCTAGAAGAAAAATGGGTTGTTTTGCAGTTATGCTTGTATACTGAAATGAGTTTAATTATACTGACTCAAGCTCTTCTGTGTAAACAAATGATTTGTGACTTCATCACCTTGATCCTGAAAGAAATAACAAAAAGCAGTTACCATGGATGGAAAGGTCCGTTCTGTGCTTCTTCATTGTGGCTTCTGCTCAGTGTAATGATTATCATGCATACAACTTGCTTTCACCATTGTCTAAAGGTTATTTAAATGAGGTATAGGTAGTCGGTAGAACAAGAAAGATGGTCTTGCTTACTGGTTTTAGTGATACTGTCAGTAAAACAGTGATACAGCAATATTCTGTATTTAAAGCTGTAGGTACAATACAGGAATCAATTCTGCCTAGTAATACACTTACATATAGTTGCTATATGGAATTCTCCATGAGGAAATCATCCTATGTCTTTTGTAGATCGTTTATATTGCAAGGAGTCTTGTGACCATTTATTTTTAACTCGGTTGAGTGCTTGTTTACCTTTGTGAAGTGACAGTTTTAATGTCATTCTTTGTTAAACTTTCTTTTGAGGGAGGCAGTAGATGATCTAAGAAAAGCTAACTCATTACCTTTTTTCCAAATTAGTTTCATATTTTTTTTTACAGAATTTGGATTTTCATTGAGCTGTACAAAAGTAGTTGAGGAAAAACACTGAAGCATCTTCGGTGACTAATCAGATATAGTATGCTGAACATACCGATTTTGTCTGAAGTAAAATTAAATTCAGTATTTCTAAGGTGACTTAGAGGAGCAGCAACAAAATTTTGTTTTATAATTGCTTCTCTGTCTCTAAGCCTAATATGCTTTTTTTAATATCTTGGTTATTGAATCTGGGGAGGCTTACTTCTCTTGCCTGGATGGTGCATATTTTAATTTGAAGGTTTAAACCTTCTCAAATATAATTTCTTAACCAGACTGTGCCGGTTGTATTTTCTTCTAGAAGAGAAGGTCATACCGTCATACAGAAGTTGATTTTATAGCTTGGGATCTTAAAGTCAGAGGGTAAGCCCTTTGAGGAGCAATTTTTAATCTTCTGGGTACCTTGAAGTTTAAAAAGGGCTCACTTTGGAGCCATGAGAGGAAAAGACAGAAAGAGCAAGAAATCTAGGAATCTGTGGCGTATTCTAAATGCAGAACTAACCGTTAGTGCACTGAATTGTAGAGAATCATCTTGCTGAGTTCAGAAGGGCGCTTTGGCAGGCTGACTGGTAGGGTTGGGTTTGAACCTTGTATTGAATGACTTGCCACAGTTTGGCATATCAAAATACATTTTATTGGAATTTAATTAGTTTTTCTCCATGTGTCGTAGCAGTAAGGAATATATGAACTCTAAGTATACTATACACTTCTGCACAAGTGTATTGACTGTTAATTTTCTTTTTCCGTGGCATAAAATCCTCCTCCGCATGGGGAGGGGAAAATAAGAATGTGCCATTGTCTGCTGTCTTGATGTGTAAAGACCTGCAAGAGAAGCCTAAAGGTTTTTCTAGCTTAAAATTTAAGACCTGTCTTTCACTCTGACTGGAAAAGCAATTAAATGGTCTGTGAGCTAAGTGTGAAAATTGAGTAATGGAGGAAAGAAGGGATTGTAGTCAGTCTTTTAAGGTTCTACTATTGTTAAAATCTGTTTAACGTCAGTGACTAGCATTTTTAAGAGGGCGCCTCTGATCAAAGATTCGGCATGAGTATTTGTAAAACTGAGACCTGACAATGTTCTTTGGAGGTGCTAGAATGTCATCAGATAAAACCAGAGAAAATGAGAGTTGGCAGTCTTTAATTCCTTTTTATTTTTTTTTTAATATGAAAGCTCTTTTGGGGTGGTTGGGGAAGGTTACAGTATAAAGAGCAAAAAAAAAAAAAACAACCCCAGACAGCCCAGTTTAAAAGGTCTTGGAGGTCACCTCTAATGATGAGGCAATGATGTAATTGGTTTGCATTACATTATTCAAGTCATCATCTTTCTCCACACTAAAGCTTTTAGTTTGTGTGGAGAAATCACCAATATGAATTGGGCAGTAGGCTTACATTAAGCTGTGAACTCTCATTTCATAAAATGTGAAGCAGGATTCCACACCTGGGGTAATTCTGAAGCTATTTGGCCTTTTCAGAGTTGAGAAAGCTATCTGTGTCTATCATGGCTTTTTCAGTCAAGCTTTTTATCGCTTTTCTTACTGAGCTAACCCAACTGCAGTTTTAGAATAGGGTAAGAATCTGTCCAAGGGTAATCACAGCTGATTTAGTTTATGTTCCTGATTGGCTTGTTTCTTTTTCAGATCCCTTGCAGTTGGCAGTAAATCGGGCTACAAATTCTTCTCTCTTTCTTCTGTGGACAAGTTAGAGCAAATCTATGAATGCAGTGAGTATCATCTTTTTTTCTTTTTCCTTTTTTATCCCCTCAGTTGGCTTAATTTGGGAAGAATAAGACATGTTTTACTTTTCCACAGGTTGTTTGAAATTGACATAAGAGGAACCTTAAGTGTATGATGAAATATCACACAAATACAAAACAATTGATTGCTGACAGGGTAAAACTATTTATCAGTGTTCTGTATTTAAATTTAGCCGGTATGTTGTGAAATTTGGTAATGGCTATGAGGAGAATTCTTTGCTTTTCTAGTTTTGTGTCCAGTAGCCAGGTTATGTAGCAGCTGGGCATAAAAAAAAAAATCACTGGTGTGAGAGAGTATCTTTTGGGTCTTCATACTGGCTATTGGGGAAGGCAACCACTAATATACCTTTATCAAATAAGAAAACAAAGCATTGATTATCTTTAATCCTAATATTTGCTGTTAGAAAAATACTTTTTAACATGATAGCTGCAGATTTATTCATCCAAAAGGGTGAATAATCCAAATTCCCCTAACTCTAAATACTGATCACAGCTAGGTAGGATATGAGGTGAAATGGAAGGAGGCTTGGGGGAGAAATGCTATCCCCTGTTTTGCCAGCAGTTCATAGACTTCCCTTTTTTGAGGTGCTAGTAAGTAAACTATGTATGCTATGCATGAGTATCCTTGCTTTCTTGTAAACTCCATGTGAACAGATGGTACGAATAGCTATGATGTCAGCATTTATAGTAGGATCCTGGTGTACCATGCTACACAACAGAGTTTTCTTCAGACTCCGTTCCCGAAGTGACCTGACCCTGTGGCATCTTAAGTTTGAAAATGGTGTGTGATTCAGATCACCTATTATCTGTGGTGACAGCCTGATTCTATATACAGTCAGTGGAGAGAAGTAATTGTGAGGTTCAAATTAGGCACCTGTGGTCAGGTTAAATTGTGTTGCAGCTACATCTGCCTGTTTGAGTCATGGTCTGGTTGTACTGGTTAATCGGTGGCTTGAATTCCATTTTATGCCATTGAGTTTAGGTACCTGACCTCTATAGTATGTTAGGCACTTACAGGATCTGGCCTGGTATCACCCCAGGAGACTCAGAGAAGATGACTCCTGTTACACAAGACACTGAATAAACATACTGAGAGAGACGGAACTGAACTTTGCAGGACTGCTTCTAGGTAGTCCTTGAAAGAAAAAGTACAGATTGGATAAAGTGCCTTGCTCAAAATCTTGGAATAAACTGATAAAGTAGCTGGGATTAGAATTTAGACCTGCTGATTCCAGTCTTGTCTTCAGACTGTTCTGGGATGCCTGTATTGGCTTAACCTCTGTGATATTGTAAGTTTTCTTCCATGAGTGTTAACTCCATACAGAGCACAGAACGTGAGGTAACATTTAGTAGAAAATTTGATGGTTTGACCTGTGTAAGCCAGCCTGTCTTGACCTCTGCTCATAGGGCATGCCATGTCTGCAGCAGACCTAAATATTTGAGATCTTTATTTTTTGTATGCAGTTAAATAATTTTCATTCTTGGGCTTGCAAACCATGCCTGTTTAAAACTTGATATGGAGGGTGGAGGGCTTCCTGTGTATTGGCTACCTCCTTTCCACAAGGAAAAGTATCTTGAGGCCTCCCAGACATGTGCCTGCTGCCTCCCAATTCAGTTTAAGTGGGTCTAAAGACTTTGTGTTGTTTTGAGTGAGCACTTCTAAGGACTCTTTCCTCTCTTCTGTAAGATTGATCTGCCAGTTCTTGTGTAGGTGTCTAAAGTAAACTACAGAATATGCCCCAGCTGTCTTGTGTTTGAGAGAACAACTGAAAAGAATGGGAGGTTTCTTTGTCTGCTCCCATCACTGACTTCTACTGTGACTCTGTACAAATTGCCTAACTCCCTGCTCAGTTGATCCCCCTGTAAAAATAAGTATTAGATTGGAGGGTGCTTTAAGGCTTAATGAATGCTTATAACATGCTTCATGTTCTTGGATTAAAAATGGAACAAAAGCACAGCTGATCATAATCTAGCTGGTTCTAACCAGCTCCTGTCTGTGATGCTATATGCTTGTGTTTATGAAACTCCAATCTAGTTATGTGTTTGCTTGTTCTCCCCTCCCTGCTGATATTTAAATCATTTTGCAGTTCTTCTTTTTGTTCTTCCTGTATTTTGAATCTGAGTTTCTGGTAGTGCTCACTTGTGTAGTGTGAAGGAGAAAATACAAATAGGAAAAAAAATGGGGTTTAGATTAACAGCGTTGCTATAGGATTTAGCTAGTGCTTCTAAACATATGATTAATTCAGGTCAGCTGGATGTAGGATGTGCAGTATAGCCTGGTACTCTACTTGAATGGTTGCTTATTAGGAAGCATACATGACTTGGCAGCTGTGAAGAGATTTTATCACTTCTTCCTGTTAGTGGAAGACAAAGGAACAGAGGTGCATCCTGTATTTTTCAAGTGAATTTAATTAAAAGCCCGTCACAAAGGCTTTCTCTAAAGGTAACTGTCTGTATTATAGTAAGTCTTTTTATGGTGAGACTGAAGGATTGTCTATACCTTTTAAATGTTTTCCTTGTTGAAAATTTTTTCTTCTGTCTGTGATTGCGTAGTTCTTGATAGAGCTCTTCCTTGTGTGCCTTCCCTGCTGCCGACGCTTCCCATCGGTGCAGCATAGGACAGTGCTTTTTCCGTGTGAATCTCTGCTGCTGTTCCTTCTCTGAAATACCAGTTCTGCCTAGGAGAGTAACAAATCCCAGAAGCTGTGTCTTAACACAGTTGCCCCTGAATGGGAAAAGAAGCTGTGCTCGCCCAGGAGCAGGGAGCAGTCAGACTGTGGTTTTTGGGTCTCTCTGTGCTGGTCTTCTGACTCTTGCAAAAGGATGCCATTATTATGAAGAACTCCAGGCTTAGATGGAAAGCTGATAACCTGTACTGTAAAATATTTGAGAATCTTTTGTTACTAGTGTGGTTCAAGGAACATGGACCTCTGCATTTGAAAGTCTATGCATAAATTTATTGAAGTGGATTTTTGTATTTCTTTTTCATGTGTTGTGTGTGGCATCAGGAAAATGAAGAACAATTCCTTGAAAACAAAGTCATTGCTAAAATGCATTATCCCTGTTGCAGAAGTGAGGAAATTGAATTTTCAAAGCCTCTGTAAGCTGTTTTGTCTTCTCTGGAAAAGTACCATATTAAATAAGAGATTTAGATAAAAGTTGATTAGCTTGCGTTGAATACTGAAAATGCGTAGTATAAACCTGCTCCTTTTCCATAAGGAGGCTATTTCTCTCAAAAGAATGTAGAGCATTAAATATTTTCTGTTCTTTTTCTTGAAATAACTGCCCAGAAAAAGCACTTTCAAAGCAGACATGTCACAAAGCGATGACATTGTCATATGCTGAGAATGTTGGACAGAACTTTTTTCAGGGAATTTCCATCATTGGTGATGAGAACACTGCCAATTGTTTAATGTGTCTCTTGGCCAAAACAGAAGCCTTCAGAAATAAGCGCTTTTTTTTTTTTTTTCTGGTAGTTTTATGGTTTGGAATGTGTTAAGCATTGAGCTAATCCAGATACTGACTTCTGAAAAGTTTGGTTGTTTCGATGGATCAAGGCCAAAGGCTCAAGTTTCTTTTCTTGATTCAGTTCTGTAATGGAAGGGCAGCTGTAGCTGGTAGCTGTGGGAGAGCTGCAGAGAGTGGTAAAACTCTCTCCAGCTTTCTCCTGTTGTGAAAACTATGTCCACTGTGTCTCTGGGCTTTTGGAGGGGAGCTTCAGGAGATGGGGGGGGGAGAGCACACGTGGCAGGGTAACTGGTGGTGGGACTCGGACTCCTACCAGCTTGGTCCAGTACTGTACTATAATCAAACGCTCTGAAAGTGCTTCTTTGCCAGAGATCCTGGACTCTCCTCCCTCCTGCTGTTTTCCCCACATTTTGAATAGTGACTTGTGTTCCTCCAGTGCTTCCATAGTAGAACACATGACAAAAGTAATGCTGTTTTATGGCTATGCATACATGCTGGGCTTCAGTAATTCCTGTACAAACTGTTTTTAGGGACTATCAGGTAAAAGATGGTATGTGTAAAAAAAAAAAAAAAAAAAAAAAAAAAAAAGGCAGTGGCTGAAGCAGTCTTAGTACAAATGAGTTTACCAGCTTGTTTGAGTACAATAACCTTTCTTTCTTCATGGACAGGTGTGCAGAAACTCCAGGGTTTTTGGTCATCAAAAACCCTTCCATGCATAGTATAGCTTTAAAAACAAACACACACACACAAAAACCCCAAACCCAAAAAGCCTTTGCTTTCCTAGATTTCTGCAGAGATAAGAAGAGATTGTAAGATTCTGGAATTTGACAGTTTTCTTTTTTTTTTTTGTATCTTCGGGATTTTTTTCTGTTGGATCTGGGGGAGTAGACGCTCTGTTCTGAAGCATGAACTTGCATGACACCTGGGCAGGGTGATCTTTGTAAATCAGTATTTATTCTGTACATTTTCTGCTTTAAAAACCTGTCACTGTGTCCCACCTTGCCTGTGAGCTGTTGTGGCAGAATGTTTGTAGTGGTAGACTGTATTTTCTTAGACAGTATTTCCTGTTGATGTGCATCACTCTTCTTCCCTGAAATCTCCCTCTGTATTTTTCCCTCGTTATTGTGATTCCTCAGCTGACACAGAAGATGTGTGCATTGTGGAGAGGCTGTTCTCCAGTAGTCTGGTGGCCATAGTTAGCCTTAAAGCTCCACGCAAGCTGAAAGTTTGTCACTTTAAGAAGGGGACAGAGATATGCAACTACAGTTACTCCAACACCATCTTGGCTGTCAAACTCAATAGACAGGTAAGTAGTAATTTTGACTAAGTGAAAACAAGGAAAGGGGTTGTGGATCTTATTCTGGCACTTTCTCTGCTGATTGATGTCTCGTCCTTTGGTGACAGAATTGCTATTTGAAATTAACTTGTACTTTTCTGACTGTAGCTTCTGTATGGCATCTCAATACTCATATTTGGTGAAGTATTTTTGATTCTATGTTTATGTATTTACTTAGGAAAATGCCCTGAGTATGCTGGGCATGCTTTGAGTAGGAGGTTGGACTAGAGACCTCCTGAGGTCCCTCCCAGTGTGAATCATCCTGTGACCTTAAATGTGAAAGTGTGTGATACTGACAATTTCTGTTCAGGCCTAAACTTCAAGTTGTTATCTATTAACTTTTTATGTTTTTAAATACAGTTCACTGAATTCTTTAAAAAAAAAAATCTAAGAAAAAAAAATCACTGAACTGGTGCAATTTTTGAGTTAGGTACCTGGAACAATAGTTTGCTGTATTACTAAATCATTAGTAAGCTGTTCTGCAAATACAGACTTTTCTGTCTTCAACCAGTTCATTCAAAGTAGAAAGAATGGCATCTGAAGGAGAAAATCTTCTCAGTGTTTGTCCCTGCCCCCAAAAATCAGGTGTGGGAGGGTGGGATTCCTCCTTAAAATCATAAGGGAAACAGTGGCTAATTTGATTTCTGGCATAGTGAGATAACATTAAATGAGCAACATCTTGTTAGTTGTCCAGATGTAGTCTACAAAAGTATAAATGAGATGTTGAAGAACTTAATCAAAGTTTAAAAGAAAAAAAAAAAAAGCCCCTCACAAATGATTGTAAGTAATGGGCTCTATAAATGGTTAAAAAAGTCTTGTATGTTTTTTTCTGTTTAGCCAAAGCAGAAAATTATTTCCACATGTGAATTGGCCTCTTGAGGGGGGAGTACATAAGGGCAGGTACAGAATAAGAATTAAATAGCTTTAAATGAAGGTTTCTGGCTTGCTGGCTTAAACTAGTAATGTAAATCATTTTCATTTAAATCAATTTGCACTAGCATGGTTGAGAGAAGTCAAGTGCACTGGTCAGTTCGAGTGACTGAGTGTAGTATTGCGCTGTTGAAGCCTTGTCAAGAGGTGTGTCTTGTGTATCTTCTATCAGACTCTTATTTCTTCCCATCAGGTGGGTACAACTTTTTCTCTATTGGAAGGTACCTACTGCATTTTTGGATACAATTTTTTTAGGATTGATAAATTAATAGAAACTCCAGTTTGATATCAGCATTTTGTCTTCTTTCCCATGTCTAGAGGCTGATAGTATGTCTGGAAGAGTCTCTTTATATACACAACATACGAGACATGAAGGTATTACATACAATCAGGGAGACACCTCCCAATCCTGCAGGTGAGTATGTTGTTAGAAGCTAGCATAATTCTGAAAAGTGCGTTCTGTGTCAACATATGACATTTCCTACAGGGAGTAGCATTGTTAATTCTGCTTTGAAATAAAAGTAACAAATATATGAGTGTTGTCTTAAAGCCTACCCATTTAATCCAGGTGAGGTTTTTGAGAACAAATAGCCGACTCTGCCTTAAACTGCATCTTCCTACTATTTTAGTCTCCTAGAGCAGATGTGTTGAAATGTTAGAAAGAAGTAGTAGAGATACAAACTGGATTTTGCTAGCACTTGGTATGGTGTCAGGTTAGTGCTTTAGGAGTCATGGCAGACATGGGAAATTCAACTGCTTAATCAGTTATTGTCGCTCTTGGTATTCTTCCTTTTCTACTTACGTTAAATAATTGAACATGTTGCAGGTTGACTCTGAGATTACGCATCCTTGTTCTCTTGATACCTTGTGAGGATAACTTGAGTTATCTTTGTAATATTCAAATGCAGAATCGGAAAGTTTTGCTGCAGAAGTCTTGGAATTTACCTTTTTCTAATTCTGTTTCTGTATCCCTTCTTAGGGCTGTGTGCTTTATCAATAAACAATGATAACTGCTACCTGGCCTATCCAGGAAGTGCAACTATTGGAGAAGTACAAGTCTTTGACACCATCAATCTGGTAAGGATCTTTGTGGATGCTGTTTCCGCTTCCAAAGATGTAGTTTTTGGAAATAATGTAACTTGCTCAGAGAGGAATTACTAGACACTGAGTTAGGTTCCTCTGTGTTAGTTTGCAGTCTCTCTTATAGCTAGGCTTCACAGAACGTCAGCAAAGAAAATACAGATGCTAATATTAGATTTGAGTAGAGTTGGGCAAACCGGTGTAGCAAAGTAATTTCTATTTGAATTGTCTTTTAAGTATCCTTATACTGCTTGTACTCTCTATGCACATGCTTCAGTGATAATTTTATGTACTTAGCAGTTACTGAAACAAATATTGAAGCTGTTGTCCATAAAGTAAGACTGATATTTGCCTTGAACGCTCTTAAATATGTGGTCTTAAGCTGCGAACATGCAGCTTTTAACCTGTACTGTACTAAGGCTATATTTTATTGATTCACTCCTGCAGAGAGCTGCTAATATGATCCCAGCTCATGATAGTCCCTTGGCTGCTTTGGCATTTGACGCAAGTGGTACTAAACTTGCCACTGCATCAGAAAAGGTAAGGTGGCTTTTTATTGACTTGCCGACACTGATAAAAATGAAATTTGTTTCTAAGTATTTTAAGTAAATTTAAGCTTGCACAATTGCATGCGCAAGTGCCAAAAAGAATGGCAAATCTAAGTTAAGAACTGTTAATGATATTTGACACAATTTCCATGCTGTGAAATGCTGGATAATAAAGTTATTTAAATAAAGACATTTTAATCTGCCTGTAATCAGGGCAATCCTCTAAGCGTTTTCTCTTTAGTGCAGGATACCGATTAGAAATTAGTTGTCTTGTTTTGATGCTGTCTTCCTAATGAAAATAAGACAAAGTCAGAATAGAGAGAAGTGTCTTGCCAGTCTTTGGCACACAATGACAAATTGTCTGTCTAAATTGTATAAATTAAAAAGTCTGAAGCCTCTGCTCTTTGATTAATAAGCTTAGAATATAAAGGTGTAACTGATTGCATCTGATAAAGGCACAAAGACATCAAGGTAACTGTGCTTGTGGTGCTTGTCTAGTGTGGTCATTTTCATGATCAAATATGATAAGAAGGGCTGTTCTTCATGCATAGCTTGTTCTCTACATTAGTAGCTCCCACCTCTTGTTGTTTCTCTACTCTTCAAACACATCCTACGAACAAGCTCCATAAATATTTCATGCTAGTATGTGGTGTGCATCAATGGCAATGACTTAACAGCCAAATGGTTTGCTGCTTGTAGTTGTTCTCTGCTCACTAGAGCTAAAACACAATGAATGAATTTGAAATGAAAAAAAATTTTTTTTTTTTTTCCTTTACAGGGGACGGTAATAAGAGTGTTTTCCATTCCAGAGGGACAGAAACTCTTTGAATTCCGAAGGGGAGTGAAGAGGTAAAGTTCATCTGGGCTAATTATCTGAAGCTTATTCCTTACAGTAGAACTCCATTATCTTCTGCAGTTGAGCTGACATCCTGATTTTTGCCTATTTTCATCTTCATTCATCCCTGCCTGTACACTTATAACAGTTTCAGCTTGAATGTCTTCCAATTTCACTCCTTTGGACTTGACTATTCTACAAATCAACCTTGTCAGAATTGTACTCCCTCTTGCCTTTTAAAAATTTATTGGTGAGGGAACTTGTTTAAAGTGGGTCACCTGTTGTAAGATATATTGTATTCTTACGGCAATTGGAGACAGTACATCTAATATTCTCACTCTCTTCTAAATCCTTCTAGTGCTGTGATCATTGGTAGCTATTGTGAAATGGTACTATAATTTGTGGTAGTAGTAACTCTGTAGTTCTACTGTACTTTATACAGAGGTAAGACTGAGTTCAGATTGTTACTAGTTGACCCCCATATCTGGTATACATCAGAGTTGAACATCATTAATGGGGATCTTGCTTTTGAAGTGCTTTAAGAAGGTATCAGAGAATTCAGAATGCTTATTATGGAAATGTTCTTTTTTCTTATTTGCAAAGCAATGGTGACTGAGAAATCTGCCTAATTATTAATTAAACTAAATACTTTGGCTTAATTGCACATCACCTGCAATCACTGACAGGAGAAGAAGAGCAGGTGAGTCCACCATGCAGTCACTGTTCCTCCCAGCTTTTGCAGTACAGCTCATGTGAACATTGTGGAGCTCCTTAGTGGTGAATGTGCAGAAAGACACATCCTGCCTACCGAAATGGCAAAGTAACATTCTCAAAGTCAGTTCCCATGAGTTAGTTAACACTAGCTTTCTTCTTACACTGATTGGTACAGTACTAGAATGTCAAAAATAATGCTTGATTGTTTTTCCTTTCTCTTTCCCCACCCCCAGGTGTGTGAGCATCTGTTCATTGGCTTTCAGCATGGATGGCATGTTTCTGTCTGCATCCAGTAACACAGAGACGGTGCATATCTTCAAACTTGAGACTGTGAAAGAAAAGTAGGTTTCAGAGGTGCCTCAGATTTTTCAAGGAAAAGGCTTTAAAATTGGTTATATTCAACAGGATGAGTTCTCCAAAGTGTGGACGGACTTCTTTTGAACACTTCTGTAGAGTAAAGGGCATAAGTCTCTTAAGAATTAGCAACTGTAGCTGAGCTGTGTACTGTTCTCCCAGTGAATAGAAAAGGTATTTCTGCTGAAGAGAAATTGGCCATCCTTGGCAGAGGAATGTGGAGCAGTTTTAATATTTTTCAGTTACACTTGTTTTACCTCTTCTGACATCCGTATGGGAAGAGCTATCTCAGTAATGCCTTCCAGCTGCCTATAGGCCTTCAAAAGGCACCAAGTTGTAAAATGTTCCTATTTATGATTTGAGAGGATAGTCTTACATTTCTGTGGAGGTTGTTGGAAACACTGATTTGCTTAGTGATAAACAGGTGAATAAAATCTTGAAATATAGCACTTTCCAGTAGATCTTGCTCTTGTATAATGAACCTTATGAAATGCAGTTTTATAAGCAGAAGTATCAGTTTACAATCAAACATGTTTAAATAACAGGCTGAGGATATTGTGGGACACATTGTGCCCTGTAGCATGAATGGAGTGCATTAGAGTTGTCAAGGGTGCTAATTATTTCTGAAGAGAAACAAATAGCTGCTTAATATCTTTAAAAATAAAAAGACGTTTCAAAGTGTTTACACACCTTTCTAATGCAAAGGCAAAGTTAATCATGTTTTTCTTCTGACTTGTAGACCTCAGGAAGAGCCTACAACCTGGACAGGTTACTTTGGAAAAGTGCTGATGGCCTCAACAAGCTATCTGCCCTCTCAAGTAACAGAAATGTTCAACCAGGGTAGAGCCTTTGCTACAGTCCGCCTGCCGTTCTGTGGGCACAAAAACATCTGTGCACTTGCCACGTGAGTAATGAAATTGAGCCCGCATTCACCACCCCGCTGGGTTGCCACGTTGGGCTACAGAGAGGCTGACGCTATAGAACATAACCTCGTCTCCAGCAGAGCGGGTGGTACGCAGAGCAATGGATCACCTGTAATCATTTCAAAGCCTCTTCCAGTTTAAGAGCAATGTGTTAGAGGTAACACCTCAGTCCTGTGAGGGGAGGAGGGAAAGGTGTAATATTTGGATGAGAACAGACTATTTCTAAATGTTGTTTAAAGATGTCTTTTAATTTTGAAAGAAGAATGTTGAGAACAGACCCATGGGCTTATGGCATTTGCTTCCATTAGTGCTAGGGGAAGTGATACTGTATGTTGTGTTGGTGAATTGCAAAATTAGGCAATCCAGACTAAGCATTAAAGAAGTCTTTGAAAGCAAGTTTGTATTATTCTTGTCTCTAAAACAGCATAGCATTCATTAAAGTTAATTTTGAGGACTAAATCTAATGTTTATTGGGTCTTCACCAAAGGCAGGTCCCATTTGGCACAGCTACCAAAGCAATAAGCTGAGCAGTAGTAAACTTATTTTGTGAGGGTTTTATAGTTTTTATGCTAAATTGACTTCGTGTGTGTACTCTCACTTCTCTGATCTCAAAGCACCCTTTAAGCAATAATTATGCCTTGTAACATTTCTGAAGTAAGTAAATGCTTCCCGTTAGAATATTTGTCTCTGAAGTTGCGCAAAGCTTGATAACAGGATGGTAGCTTCTGCATCTGTTTTACTGGGTTATACATAAGTTACCTGATTCCTGTGGCATCCCATTAGCCCCAAAATGTGGTTATGCCTTACTTTTTTTTTTACACACAGTTCTTTCCTAGGTGCTCTGTCTAACTGTTAAGTGTTCCCTGTCTAGAAGCAAGAGTGTGGGAAACAATGGCTTAAAATCATGGGAGGGGAGGAGCATGTGCTGATACAAAATTTAAATTCTTATTAATCTGTTGCTCTCCTCTAAACCTTTCTAGAATCCAGAAGATCCCTCGTTTATTGGTGGGAGCTGCTGATGGGTATCTCTACATGTACAACCTAGACCCCCAAGAAGGAGGAGAGTGCACACTAATGAAGCAGCACAAGTAAGTCCACATTAGCTGAGGACTGTTCTATCTTATTTTTTCACAAAATCCAGTTTGTTCTTAAACTTCATTCTGTTCTGGAAAAGTTCAACTTAGAACCGCTGATTTCTTTAAACTGATCTTTTTCCAGACCTCTGACATGAATGAGTAACTTCAGAATCCCCCTGTGCCTGCCTTCCTAGTATCTACTACACAAAGCGTCACTTTACCAGCAGAAACTTAACACTGTCCGATTGCGGTGAAGGATCAATCGCTGTTAGCTCTATGATCCTGTTTCCTCTTCCTTGGCAGTTTGAGTTGAGTTACTTAACCAAGAACTTGAAACGTCTGACACCATCTTCTTCATCAATAAATTAAGCGGTTACAGAGATGAGAAAGAGATGTTACTCTGACTTCACAGAGGGGAATCTGGCCTTCAAAATCTGCTGTATTCTCTCTCTACCAGTGTCCTTATTAAACTTTCTTGCATATAGGCCAGCCAACTAATGTTCTGTAGCAGTACTGTAGAACGCTTAAGGAAAATATGGCAAGGTGGTGGTGTTTTTTTTTTTTAATAAGGTTTGGGAGGAAAAGCTACGGTAATATACGGTAAGATAGATATTATTCATGTGATCAATCGTAGAATTAAAGCCAGTAACTCACAATGATAATTCACGTTTGCAGCTTTGGTCAATCTTAATACTGGTCAAAAATCATGCCTTTATCTGAACGTTTTAAGGTATGACCTCTGGTTTCACTTGTAGATGAAGTCTGAGGGAAGCTTTTATCAAGTTCTTAATCTCTGAAATGCTCCAATACCTTCGCCAGAGGGTTTTGTAGTATATGTGTATGAAGCAACAGCTTCTGTTGTGGACAGAGCCCAAGAGAAAATCTGTAATATTTCTGATTGGAATGGCTGGGGTTTTTTTAATCATGCACTCTTGTTTTGAGTCTCTTTTGGTAGCATCAGCTACTAGGATTTAGATTCTGATGCCATGTTGCTGATGTCTTCAGTGCTAAATACAAAGTGTTGTCAGATGCCTTCTTAACAGTCCTCTGGAATGGAGGGACCGAGTTCCTCCTGTTGCATGTGTATATGTGTCATTGTTGCACGTCTAATGAGATATCCTTCTGTAGCTGTGAACTAAAGCTGTGTTACGCCCAGGCAGATCACCTCTCCAGCTAACCTCTCTCTGCTTGGTAGGCTTGATGGCAGCATGGAGCCAGCCAACGAAATTCTAGAGTCTGCATCCCATGACCGGCCGTTGGTAGCGCAGACATACAGTGCCGCTGTGACTAAAGGTACATATGTGCCTTCCTCACCCACAAGGCATGGTAAGAAGAAGGCTGGAAATGGAGCAGAGAGCACCTCTGCGTATTGCTTCATGCTAGATGGCTTTGTGAGCTCGTCTGCTTCAACACTGAGCTTTTCGTAACTGCGGGTGTGATGTGGAGCATTGGTGAGCAGTAGGAAAAGAGCATTTGTGATGTACAGTAGCCTCCTGTAGCTGGATCGCTCATCTTTGCTACGTTAAGTAGAACATTGTCTCGAATTGTGGTTGATTACTGTAGTGATAGGTGCAGTATTTGCCAAATTTCTTTGTGTTAGGGCATCTCAGTTATTTCGTACAGGAGTTCTGCATCCAGACCTCATGCAAAGCATCTGAATTATAGCATGCCCCCCCCCTTATTTCTTTTAACAAGGTTTATAAATGCTCCTGTCATTCCTTTATGGGAACAGTGACCTTTTAGCCTGATTTGCTGCTCTGTTAAATTGAGAGGGTGAGCATTTGGTTAATGCTGCAGCTCTCTGAGTGGAGCTTCTACCATCTCTGTATGGCGCTCAGGTCAGTGCTTCAACTGCAGAGGAAGGACAGTCTGCATGTATAGCATCAATACTGCAGTTGCAGCTGTAATGCATGGGTGGAGATTAAGAAAAACATCAGCCTGCCCAAAGCACAAGTACACGGTGTGCACATGCGGAGTGGTTGAATTTTGATCATAAACTGCTCTTGGCTTGGAGAAACACGGTCACGATAAAAGCAAACATAGGGTGGCAGTGAAACTGTTGCAAGTAATGTCTGGTACTTCAGCTCTAATCATTCACTTTGGATCCAAGCCTTAGTTTGTGCTGCTGATCCCCCAACTACTTGTTCCTTTCTCTCCAGCCTATACAGATGACCTGGGTGCTGTGGGTGGAGTTTGCCTGGAAGATGAAACCAACTCACTTAGATTGGACGAAGACAGTGAGCATCCTCCCATGATCCTTCGGACAGACTAAACTTTGACCTGTGAACTCACTTCTGAAGCAGAGAACACTGGCTTGATGTTTCTTGAGGAATCTCGTGTTATGCTGCTATGAACTTTGACATGAGTTGGGAGAGAGGATGACAGACTCTTACAGTTTTAAGTCGTAGCTGTAGTTCTAATTCTATACAATTGGAAAAATATATGGTTTTCAATTCAGTGGCTTTTAATCTTGCTTATCTATTTTAGCTGTGTTTATTTTTTTTGTTGCCAAAACCTGCTGTTTGTGCAGCCCTGAGAGCCTACTAGCTTTGCATGCGTTCATGTGCCAAGCAAGCATAGGAGGGGGAGAGAGAGAAGCCACTTTATAACAAACCCAAGTTTGTATTTTTTTTATATATGTATATAATATTTAGCTTATATAAGGAAGGAGTAGAGAAGTGGTTCTGGAAGCTGAGACTAGTTCTGCACTGACAAAGGTCCAAATGGTTTCCTGTGCATGGGCTTGCAGGCATACCTAGTGACTGACATGCAACCTTTCAAATGCAATGGCCTGGTTTTTTTGGGTTCTCCCTCCCCTTTCCTGGACCATTTTGTTAATTAAAATTCCTTCTAAATGTTGTGTATTTGTGGGACTGTTCTGTTTTTTGGGATGGAAAACTGGAAGTGTTTCCCTGCGTAAGGATATAGAAAATAGAAAGTGCCTTGACAGGGAAGAAAAGGAATTGCTGCAGGAAGAAAGCTAGAATGAAGGAGGAATTGCTAGAGACTCTTGTTTGTACACCTTTTGTACTTGGGTGTCTATAGCCCATAGGAGCCAAGAAGCTTGTTGGTTTTTTTAGAGAAGACTTGGAATGCACTTTCTTTCTCTCCTGTAGATTGTCTTATTTCCTTGGCAGAGTAGCAATAACCTTTTTTTATAGTTTTTTAAATTATCCGAAGCAAGGATTCTATCAGGCTGGATGGAAGTCCCTGTAGAGTATGGCAGGGCCACTCTTTAAACAGCCTTAAGGTTTTCAGCTGGAAGGCATAGCTCTCGATTCTTGCTTCTTCACTCTGGGGCTGAGTGTACTGCTCTAATAGTGAAGGTTCATAATTTTTTTTTTTTTCCCCGAGATACTGATGTAAATAGAAATGATTTTGAAAGGTTAATTTTCTTCTGGGTTCTTTTCTGCTGGAGAACAGTACTTTTTTAATTATTTTTATTTTTCTATTTCCCCTTTCATCAGAGTACCTCTTGTGATACACTCCAAGGACTGGTTGTCTCTTTGGCAGTTTTGGAATAAATCCTTAACTGCCCTGACCCTGGCTAGGGCTTTCCAAGGCTGGGCAGTGCTGCAGACTATTTTTAGGGTTGTAATGTGCCTTCTCTTAAGTCTTGGATAACAGTTAGTGAGCAAGTAATTAACAAAGTACTTGGTGAGTATTACTTTCCTTTGCCAAAATGAGCCGCCTGCTTTGCCTTTTGTGTAGCGATGTGGGTTGCTTCCTTTCCCTCACTGACTGCTTGCAGAGGAATAAAAATAAAAACAGGCAAGGAAATTGCAGATCTTGAGAGGAGGACAGAAGCTGAGTATTCCAGCTAGGTGTGAACTCCCTACCACAACTAGACAGTGATGTGCTTTTAGGATTTGGTACTGTTAACAAGTCTTCTCTCAAGCAATAGCAGGCAGCGCTCTTTGTCCCCACAGCCCTGTGTGGGCAGGTGGGCTTCCCCTTCCTCTGAAAGTGCAGAAGATGGTGGTAGCCCCTGCCAAGAGAGCTGCCTGTATCAGTAAGGCTACTGTTAGTCCGTGTATGTGGAAGATGTTCTTACCCGAGCACATGTGGAAGAGAAGGGATCAGCTTGTTTATTCACTGAAAACCCTTGACTATCCTAAGTGGTTGGCTGGAGTGGCTTGTGGTGTCCTCTCCAGAACCCAGCACGTTCAAAGGAAACCACTGAGCTGTGCTGAAATCCTGCTTAGTCTCTTGACTTTAAGCTCTGGCTGACAACTAAATTCCATGGTCTGGAATTATTTTTTTACTGCAAGTGCTATCAGCTTTGCTGTGGAGCTCATAACTGCAGAGTAAAATACAAGTCTGGAAGTAAATATAAGCTCAATGAGCTTTGCTGGCAAACTGAACCGCCCAGGAGCTGTCAGATGTCTGCTCATTCCAGACTAAAGCTGGTAACATTCCTGATAACATACTTGGAGGCTTGGCGTAGACTCCACAAGTAGAGTTAGCAGTAAACACACATAAGCAACACAAATCTGCTAAGCACACAAGTTTTACAACTCCTGAGTGTAACAAAGACCATGTTACATAGTAATTACATTAAAGGGTATATCTTACTAACTTTTACTGCTAGAAATTGAGAACATTTATTGTATGAATTTTACTCCCTTCTTAACTTATACACCTTATCTTCCACAGGTGAGTTGGAGATCCTATATTCACTATATTTGTCTTCCATATGCTGTAGTATGCTCCTACTCCTGAGCCACAGACTGACTGTTGACTCGCTATGCCCTGTGTGGTTCACTCTTAAGTAGAAGCTGGAGGCCAGTTAAAGTATCTGTCTTTGTTGTTTTAACTGGGAAAATCTTTTTAGAGAGCCAAAGTATTAATATTGCAGGGTTAGTGACCAGCATGGAGCTAGTAGGGTGGAGCAGGTGGTTTCTGGTCCCCACTGACAGTGGATTTAAGAGTGGTGACAGTAGTTTGTCTTAAGTTCATTGCATGAGGATATAAACTGTTTCTCAGATAAAATATGATTAGTATCATTTTCCTCTGATGGCCTTAGGCCCTCAGTAACCACCCTGTTGTGGTATGCTACCAAAGTTAGAAGCCTTTCATGTTGGGGTTTCATCCCAGTGGCACAAAGATGGTTTGTTTTTTGTTTTGTTTTTTTTTCTTAAACATACCAGAAATGCTGTTTGCAGCTGCATCCTCACCTAATTGTGGAGCATATGATTGCACTGTTATACTCTGTGGATCAGGTGGTGTCTAAATATTTCTATTCTGATGGTCTAGCAGCCCTGGATTCCCCATGGTACGCCAAGAAGGCTCTAGCCCTGTGCTGCGGCCGTGGCCTTCTAGTCATACGGTATGGGAACACCTGTACAGCCCCTCTCGTTTTAGACTGACTTTCCTGGAAGGACAGTGTTTGTTCTGTGACAGTGTGTCTCTTCCTAGGTACAGACTGCACTTCCTGATAGCTTTTTTTAACTCCTTAGAGGGTTGGGGGCTAAGATAGACAACTGAACCAAAGCTGGGGAAGGGGAAACACTTAAACTCGGAATCCTAAACTCAGGTCTTAGATTGCAGTGGGATCTGTTCCCAGTGCCTACTGTTGGGAACGAGCTGTTTCTCTTGATGTGCAAATAGGTAGTGAGTGTACATACTCACTGCTGTCTCAACATCTGTCTGTTTACCCTACTTTGTATATCTAGTTCTGAGGCAGAAAGCTTTTATCTGCTCTGGACTCTTCTTATGTCACTGTTTCCAAAATACAAGTGATAGATACAAATCTAGCAGTTAAAAGGCTGGGCCTCGCAGAGGAGGAGGAGGAAGTAAAAAGCCTAAAGAAGTTAGTAAAAGCTTTTTTTTTTTTTTCTGAGGCCCTGTTCAGCAAGACATTTGTGTGAGTGCTCCCTCTGGGATCAGATGTGTGCGCGTGCCTTGCTGCTTCAGGTCCTATGCAAGCGAGTTTCTTGGGCCTGTTTCTACAGAGGGTGGGAGTAGAGGTGGCAGCTTTTCAGGCATGCCTGAATGCAAATAAATACCCGAGAAGGCTTTTAATACACTGACAGGTGTCTCCACAGAGGAAACTTGCATCTGACCTATGTGTAATAGTAAAAAGGGAGGAACGAAATGAAGAGCCACCAGCTTGATAAGTAGGTTAGCTTAGAGCCCGAAGATGATGATCAGCAGAGCACTCTTCATGTTACATCCCATACTGTCCTTTCTTGGCGCTAATAATGGCATTAGCAACAAAGCAATATCCAGTAAGACAGTAGAATTTCTTTCCCTGTAGGTTGCTGAGCTGTTCAGTATACCACTTGCGTATGCAGATGCTCCGCTGCTCTTTGCAGAGCAACAGGAGTCTTTGTCCAAAGCATTGGTGGGGATTAATCGTTGCAGAGACTTGGAAAGTTTTATTCTGTGCTCCAGCTGTCCTGGCTAACAGTCGCCTTGATTTAACCTGTTAAGGTCTGAGAGCGAGGCTGAGTGTCTTCTCCACATGTGCAGAGCAGGCCTTTGTTTTTCTGGAATCTGTGCTGCACTGTGAAAGGCTTACAATGAAGAAAGCATGGCTCTGACTGTAAATAAATCCTCTCAAATTCCAGTTGCACAACCAAAGGAATTTAGCAAATTCCTATTTTCTAAGCATACCATACCTTCATTTTAACGCACTTCAAATTGGCAAATCTCATCTTGCGCTGCACTGAAAATAACCGACAAGAAGTTTTTATCCTGGCTTGCAAATAGCTACAGTTGTGCTCATTACAGATGTCTCGGTGCCGTGGCTTTGACCATGCGGCTGCAGCGATCTGTACGCTGACTCCCCCTGCGCTGCCTTTGCATGTGTCCGACTCGTTTCTCAGGAGTGGGGAGTTGTTCCCGAACCTGTAGCTCTGGGTTTCTATGGGGCGTTGGTCAACCCTTTGTCTACCTGGATCTATTTGCTCTTGCATTTGCTTCCTCACCTGGAAAAAAACCTGCATCCTGCAGTGCTCGCTTACTCTGTTCAATATCTGTGTCGATAAGCGGGAAAACTTGTCTAACATTCCACCTCACCAAGTGTCTGGCTCTCACCGCTAGCCCATCGCTCTTTGTAATTTTATAACTGCCTAAGAAATTAAATCTGTGTTGTGATAAGTATTCTGTGTCTTCTTCCTTTTGTTTGCTGCTTGGAAATGGGGCCGGATAAGATCAGGGTGACGCTACGTGTGCTCTGTCCTCTGTGGCCCGGACCAAAACGCAAGCAGTAACAAGCCCTCAGTCCTAGCTGTGCTTTGTAGCTGCTCTCGAAAGACACCGTCAGCTTGGGTTTTGCAGGGACTGGGAAAGGACAAGCTGAGTTTCTACTGGCGCATTTTGCTTGCAAATGTAATTTTCCCCTCTTGTTCCTTAAAGCTGCTCTTCTCGGGACTTGCACTCAGGCATTTTTCTCCTGCTTCTCAGGTGAGTTTAGATAACTTCCTTTTATTCTTTCTTTTACGGGTCGCATCTGAAGCGGTGCTTTCAAATACGCACCCTGCTCACTGTGCTGTCACGCCAAGCTTGTTGCTTCGCACCTTCAAGCCCAGGAGGAAGATCTGGAGCGAGCCCATACGGATGGGTGAGGAGGAATCTCCTGCTTCTATATGTATCCTTCCTTTTGCAAAGCCACGATAAACACTTTGATCAGGGTGGGCGAGAGGAGAAAAAGCCTTTCTGCTCTTGCTAGCAATGGTGGAGCATGCAACGATGAGACTCTCCTTGTTCTCCTGTGCGACTGTTTCATAGCGAGGCCTCAGCTGTGAAACTGCAGACGTCTCCTCTCCTGATCTAGCTCTGGAGGGCAATGCTGTCCTGTCGGTGCCCTTTGTGTGCCTCCACTTGCTTCAGGCAAAATAGGTTATGTTAGCTCAGATGA